CCCCCCTGCCCCTTCATGCTGACAGTGCCCTGCTTGGTGGCCTCGTGTCCCTCACACCTGTGGCTCTGTGTCCCCATGTCCCCTCATGTCCCCCTGTCCCTGTCCTCCGTGACCCCGTGCCAGCATGTCTGTGTCCCCCTGTCTCTTCCCTCCCATCTGTGTCCCATCAGTGTCCCCCTATCCAGGTCCTCCTGTCCATGTGCCACCATGTCCTTTTGTGTCACCATATCCCTGTGTCTCCCTGTCCCCATATCCTCCATGTCCTTGTGTCCCCTGATCTCCCTGTCCTCCCCATCCATGTCCCTCCATGTCCCCCTGTCTTTGTCCCCATATCCTCCATATCCATGTCCCCCCGGGTGCCTCTCCCCATCCCTGTGTCCCCCTGTCTCTGCCCTCCCATCCATGTCCCCCTGGCCCTGTGTGTCCCTGTCCCCTCCATGTCCATGTGCCATCACACCCCTGTTGTCCCCCTGTCTCTGCCCTCCCATCCATGTCCCCCTGGCCCTGTCCCAGGCTCCACATCCATGTTCCATTACATCCCCATGTGCCCTTGTCTGTGCCACCTCTGTGCCATCTCTGTCCCTATTGGTGTCCCAAATGTCCCCATGAGTGTCCCCATTAGTGTCCAGAGGAACTGTGTCCCCATGGGTGTCCCCAGTGTTCCCAGGTGCCCCCATGGAGCTGCTGTGGAGGCAGTGGAAGGTGCCAGAGGAGTTGTGTCCTATTGGTGTCCCCTGTGCCCGTGTCCCTGTGGGTGTCCCATCAGTGTCCCATCAGTGTCCCATGGGTGTCCCCAGTGTCCCCAGGTGTGGCCGTGGAGCTGCTGTTTGGGCACAGGAAGAGCCCTGAGGAGCTGCTGAGGCAGAACCAGAGCGTGTTGGGCTGTGTCCCATGGGTGTCCTGTAGGTTTCCTTTGTGTCCCATGAGTGTTCCACATATCCTGTTGATGTCCCCAGTGTCCCCAGGTGTGGCCGTGGAGCTGTTGTTTGGGCATAGGAAGAGCCCTGAGGAGCTGCTGAGGCAGAACCAGAGAGTGTTGGGCTGTGTCCCATCCGTGTCCCACATTTGTTGATGTCCCATGAGTGTCCCCTGTGTCCCCAGGTGCTGCCATGGAGCTGCTGTTCGGGCGCAGGAAGAGCCCAGAGGAGCTGCTGAGGCAGAACCAGAGAGCTTTGGGCCGAGCCCTGAGGGAACTCGACCGCGAGAGGCAGAAACTCGAGGCTCAGGAGAAGAAGATCATTGTGGACATCAAGAAGATGGCAAAGCAGGGCCAGATGGTGGGGGACACCTTGGGGACGGCAGGGGACGGAGGAGGAGGTGCCAGGAGGGTGTGGTGGGGTGGGAGAACATGGAGGGATGAGGGACTGGGGGTGTGGAGGGGACAAAAGGGGACCAAGGGACATGGTGGGGTGCAGAGGACAAGGGGACATGGAGGGGATCAGGGGACATGGTGGGGACACTTGGGGAGGGCTGTGCTGGGGACAGGGTAACATGGAGGAGACCAGGGCACATGGAGGGACAAGGGGACACGGAGGGGACAGAGGAACATGGGGATGTGACAGGTGTCAGGGCACTGCAGAGGGGACCAGGGAACGTGGTGGGGACATGGGGGGACACTTGGGGAGGATCTGTGGGACAGCAGTGGCACTGGGGGGGTGGGGGGACATGGGGAGAACCTGGGGGGTAATGGTGGCACTGAGGGACATGAGGGACATGGTGGGGGTGCAGGAGACTGTGAGTGTCCCCAGGTGATCCTGGTGTGATCCAAGGGGACATGGGGACACAGTGGGAGGTCCAAGGGAACCCCTGAGGGGCACAGGGGACCATGAGGGGACATGGGGACATGTTGGGGGGCACAGAGGACCCTGGGTGTCCCCAAGCCACACCAGTGGGTGACCCACAGAGTGTTGAGGGTCTGTGGTGGTCCCAAGGGACATGTGGGGACCCTTGGAGGTCCCTGAGGCCTCCTGGGGAGACCTGGCGGTGGCCTAATGTGCCCATGGTGACCCTGATGTCCCTGTGGTG